AATTATTGTTACAATTTACGGCCAAAAAAAAAACCGGAACTCCCAGCATAGTTTCTATTAAAAGGGTAACTGAAAAACGGAATTAAAAACATTGAAATGCCAAATAAAGTACAAAGCTGAAGAGCATTGAAGATTCGAAACTCCGAAAAGTTTTGACAAATATACAACTAAGATAATCTATTGCTGAAACGCTATCTTCAGGTATTCTATTTTTTTTTATTTTGAAGTATTATTCAAGTAAAAATATAATAATTTATACCTTAAAAAGACGAAAGAGGCTTATTATCAAGATAATCTTCTCGATAAAGAATCTGATACAAAATTCTGTCTGATCATGTAAGTTTCCACTCATAAGAAAACTCATTTTGTTTGCTATAAAGTCGTATGTTAAGGGCATCCGATACAGTTTCTCGATATAATGTCATTTTCATAATTTTGAAATATGTTGTAGGCCTTGGCGAGTTATAAAAAAAAACACAAAATAAAACATAGGTCACCGTGCTTGTTTTCGAGAAAATTGAGGCTGAAAATTGGGGATTTGTGCAATTTTGTAAAAAAGTTAGGCAATGTTATAAATTTTTTGGAGTAGATATTCTTCGTCGTAAATTAATAAGATTGGTTTCAATCTGAAGCTGTGATAAATGACAATAAGGAAAAAAATAAATCTATACAAGAATGACTATATAATTATCCAAGCCTTGCTTGACATTGCGGACAAGATGCTCAAAGTGGCATATTTTTTAACCTAAAAGTATGGAAATAGGGTGGTTCTGAAAATGTCATTTTTCACATTTTTCTACATTAACTGCATTTTGTCATGCTTTCTCCAAATCTCAAATAAAAAATATATGTCAACGTGCTGGATTCGAAGATAAACGCAATTTATCCTAAAAATTGCGTCTCCCCCTGATAACCTCAACGTTAGCGCGAAAATGCACGACGTCGCTGGCAGACAATTTCGACGTCTCCTGCAAATTATCTCTGCAAGTTATCGGCGACATTTTTCAGATGCATAAATATTGCTTATAAAGAGCTACCTATAAATTGGTAATATTGTTTTCGGAAATAAAATCATGTGAATCATAAATACCTCTCTCTGTTTGTGGTCCAAGTTAGAAACATCTCAAGTTATTACGGACTTGATATTTTTTACGGCTTTTAAAATTTTAAGACTCGCGGCAATTTAGAACTTGACATGCAGGTACATGTACTGTACACACTCGTGTATTGTTTTATACCATATGTTGACCTCTAGATGTTTTTGTTTTGTTTTGTTTGGTGGGCTGCTGTTTCATTATCATACCCCTTAAAATCATTTATTCACGTTTTAAACACTTTTAAGAATTTAAATGTATTAATAAAATCAAACTTTTATTCGGGTCAATGATTACAGTTGAATAAAATTTGGAGGCTCCTACTGTTTTTAACCAGTTATAAAGTTCACTTGTACATACTTATTTTCACTAGACCACAGCACAAAGGTTACTTACCATTGCTTACATGAGGTCTTTTCCTGCAAACGGAACTTGTCAGAAAAAAAAATCTTATAAAGCAGAATCTTCAATTTGCTAAAGGAGGCTTTTACCAGACAGAGAAACTGTACCATAATCATGAAATTTTTCAGAATTGTTCAGAATTTTTGATTTGGCAAAAACGGTTGAATTAATATCTGGAAGACTGAACAACGGTTACCTATACATCCTCCATAACTTTGGGTTTGTTTTTGTTTCTTTTTATTCTTCTCCCAACTCCCAAATTACGATTTTAAAGCAAGTCACTTCTTAAAGCATTCATAATCTTGTACTATTATATACTTTCTCCTCAGTATTTAAGGGTGGGGGTGAGGGGGGGGGGGGGGGGGGGGGGGGGGGTATTGAATTTTTCAAGTGTACAATTCTTGCCAGATTTTTATAAAACTTATATCGTATGGACACGTTCGAAAATCAGTGCCTATCAACTATTTTTTAAAAGAGTTATGCCATTTGGAAATATTAATTATATTGGAAATTGCATTGTATTTGCTGTCAATCCGCCATTTTTCTAACATATTTGTAAAAAGTTTTGAAGAAAAAAAAAATATTGGTTATTGCATTTTGTTGGATAAAATACGTGCAACGCGGAGGAAATTGGAACTTTGTTCTTTTATAAAAGTTGTATCATTGTAAATATTAGCGGCATACCATTATTTATTTAACATAATAAATGGAATAAATTGTTCCGTTACTTCTTCATGTACCTAAACTTTCGGTATTAGTTTTTAAAAAAATCATTGGTTTTCTGCGCTGTAATAAAATGTCAGAAAATCGGATTCAAATCAAAATTTGATCATGTATGATGAATGTTAATAAAAATGATAATTGACATGCATTATATTAGTAACACCGAAAGGGTCAGTCGTCTTGAGATTGCTATATCCCTAGAAAGAGCAGTCTTTTGTGTTAACGGCGTATGTTTTATTTATGACGTAATCGTTAACTGGACGCGTCTGACCAGAACGAATAGTTCACTTTGTTTTGTGGCCAAGCCGAAAATTATAAAAAAAAAAATATGAATAGGAGAGAAGTTAAGAGTGATATTAAAAAACAATTCAAATAGATTATTCCGAAATTAATATATCATTTTATTCCGTATATGACAAGGAAAAAAAAAAGAAAAAGTTTTGCTACAATATTTCAAAGTATCGTGGCAGAATTTATGGTAATTGGAAATTTTTATTTCTGTCACAAAACCCAAATCTCTCATTTCATAAAGAGCTCTTCAAAATTCGAACGAATGCTGCAGACTCAAATCACAATTTACATATCTACCCTTTCAGTGTCAAAATTATACAATACCTATAAAACTTTCCATGTCTTCTAAAAGTAGATATTGTTTAAATTATGTCCTAAATTGTTAATTTTATCAAATCCGTTGAAATGTCACACTTGCCGTTTTTTGACGTTTCGGCGTATTTGTTAAGTGTCTAATGAAAAACAATAGGCATTTGCGGTCTTTTCTACGATCTGAAAATTTATTTAAACGTGAAAAGATGTTTTTCAAGTGAAAGAAAAAAAATAAGTCGAAGTTTCAAGGGAAAATATTAAAAAAGAAAATAAACGCGAGCTTTTTATTTGTGTCTAGTCAAAATGTCACAAAACGCCGTTTTTTACAATTTTGTTACAAATATGATAAGTCATATAATACAGTTTTGGCGGGGGAATTTTTGAAATTACAATAGCACAAAAAAAATACTATATATTAACATTAAAATATGTATTTCAGAAATTTATTTGAACCCATTTTCGACTACATGTCGAAAGTATTAACGTCACAGTCAGCGACTACTTTTGTCAAGTCATAATGTCACATCATGCTTTTTTACTCGTTTTGACGTTACGTTCTGTATAACTTGACATGTAGTGCCCTACGTCGCAAACATCTCATGCAAAACCATAACTTTTTTTATAATTTTTTATATATATACTGTATCGGTTTACTTGTTCATAGTTGAGATTAGATTTACTTTTGTATATGCATTTTGCAAATTGGGCACAGGATGTTTGCGCTTTTTCACACATAACACGATAGGAATTTGCGCTTCAAACACTATTGACATTTACGCTTTAAATTTTGATACACCTGTAGTAAATTGACCGGACATTTACGCTTTTTAACTTTAATATAAAAAAGAAGACGTGGTATGATTGCCAATGAGACAACTCTTCACAAGAGACCAAATGACACAGAAATTAACAACTATAGGTCACCGTACGGCCTTCAACAATGAACAAAGCCCATACCGCATAGTCAGCTATAAAAGGCCCCGAAATGACAATGTAAAACAATTCAAACGAGAAAACTAACGGCCTAATTTATGTACAAAAAACAAATATGTAACACATAAACAAACGACAACCACTGAATTACACGCTCCTGACTTGGGACAGGCACATACATACAGAATGTGGCGGGGTTAAACTTGTTAGCGGGATCCAAACCCTCCCCCTAACCTGGGACTTAATCGTCTACATTTTAATGAGATAAGTAAATAAATTCAACTTGTATTTGTCGTTAGCTAGTTAACATTGGCACAGTCTTAAACATAAAAGTATAAGATTATAGAAACAGGTACGGTAAAAAATGTCTATGTCACAATGGTTTCTTATCATTGTACAACAGTTTATAACATTAAAATTCGATATATTAATGAACAGGCGTCTCAGTCAAGAATTGAGAAATAGAGACAAGAATATATATTTGAAATGAGGGCGAAATACCAGTCAGGACAACTTACAAGAGCAAAATTGTTCAAACACGAATGTGATATGGAAAGACTATTTAACTTTTAACCATAAAGAAACTTTTGTAAAATTGCAAAGGTCCTATACAAAAAGCGCAAATGTCCACATTTAAAAAGCGCAAATGTCCTATATGAATTGAAGGCAAAATGTCCATTAAAAAAGCGCAAATGTGATATGAAAAAGCGCAAACGTCCCGCGCCGGGCAAGAAATCAGATTAAATTATGTTTGTTGTTGTAAATTTTGAATTTGCTTTCAACAATAGATAGTCATACTCAACCTTTAATACAGGTAATGAAATAAACGCTTCAACTAATAACATTTTTATCCAGAAACTATCAAAAGCGGATACAAGAAAGCAGCAGTAAAGACAGTGGTTTAAAAAAAAATAAAAATATCCTGTTACAATCAAAAGAAAGAAAAAATATCTTTGCTCCAAGGTGATACTGTATTAATAAATATAATTTATCTGCACTTTAAGAAATATGTGCTGCTTTTGCTTTTCGGTTCTATACGTAACAAGTCAAGCAAACAGCTCATACAAATTATGTGGTGAACTGCACGAAATGAAATTTTTACGACGCTATGATCCGTTATTTGTACAATGCATGAAAAATAACGTCAAATTAACGTTACCAAAACTAACACCAACACCGTACGCGACGTCTAGATACGATATTTTGTTGAAGATCTCACAGAAACTTCAAAATGAGGAACAACAGAAACAGTAATGTGTTTAATTTCTAATAATTTTATTAAACTTTTATCCTGTTAGAATCAAATGCACTAATCTTAATGGTGTAGAAGTTAGCATGCATGAGAAACATAAATTGGTGCATCGATTGTACAATATATCGTTCTAATTAGGGAAAATTACACGCATAACGTCCCGCAGAAAGTGACGTTTTGCGGGAATTCGAACGCTTAACGTCGCGCCAAGAGTTAAATCCCTTGAAACTGTATCGGATACCCTTAAATAAGCACTAGATTCATTTTATAACGTACACAAACAGACTCAATTCAGAAAAATCGTCCACATAGTATTGCCATTATATTTCTGGTGATCAGATATACACATTTGCGGCTAATCGTAAGACTTTCAACATGGCAGCGGTCATGAACAGAACAGGATCATGGACATGCGACGGTTAGATAAAAAAGTTACCGATTTTTCGTTTATTGATTTTCCTACTGTTATTGAGAACTTTGTCCTCATATCAACCTGGTATCTTTGATGAGTTTTAATAGATTCGATATCATAATCAGTTGTTTGTTTTCAAATCATGTATACTACGATCCTGATTTTCTATTTTTTATTTTGGGGATACTGCAGTTGACCTCGACTGTTTTGAAGATTCGTGTGTATCGGAACCTCGACATTTAAAACAAATCATCGATCGTACTCTATTATTACAACAAAAAGATAAGAATATGAACAATCCTTGAGATGCATTTAACAGAATAAATGTATATGATAATGCAGATATTCGTATCCATTCATAAATAAATCCAAAAATCCATGTTATCCCGGTGAGGCATGTCAATTTAGCATATATGATAAACATATTTCTACCTTTCCCATTGTTGGAATTCACTTCCGGAAGATTTTCAAGTTTGTAAATGACTAAACAAAACAAAACAATATTTGAGACTAGTAAAATACCAATAGGAATTGCAAAAGTAATCAGTACCATATTTGTTAATGTAATATAACATTTGTATCCTCCGTATCCTAAATATCCAGTTGTTTGCTTGTTTTGGTCACTTGCTAAATAATACGTTATATTAGAGGCTACTAACAGACCCGGAATAATAGCTGCATAGAGGCTGTAGACAACTATAACTCGTTTTGATTGTTTGACAGTCGGTTTCATTTTCATACTGAAAAAAACTCTAAACATATGAACAGTGCAAATGTGCATCCAGAAAACTGATGCTTACCAGAAATAATGAGTCAGTAATCCAAGGGATGAGCATAGTTTATCGTTCCAGGTGGCATTAAAGCCAAACAGGTATAACGAATGTGCAACTAATAGATGTAAAGATAGCATCATATTGTTGATTCCTGGAATAGTGCGAAGTTTCTTGAAAACTATATATATAACAAGCGTTATAGATAGAGCAACGATTGATACTAATGAGCATATGAGTGATAATATTTCTTCAATAATGTCTTCCACAAGAATATCCCTAGCCACAGTTTTTTTGTGAATCAATGTCAAGAACGGATATAAGCAGACCAAATAATCGTTTCCGTTTTTGATAACACTTCCGATGTCGTATGTTACATTGAAAGTCGGCATTTCCAAGTAACTATCCGAAATGACAACTTCATCCACACTAAACTTCATTCTAGGACAGAAGAAATCAGAAACTATTAACCTTATGGTTTCAAACCCCAAGAGACAATCCAAATCATCTTTATCTGGTAGCATCCTAGGAAGTTTGTCGATGGTCCTGTCAAATTCCAGTTCGATGTTTGACGTTATATTTAGATTTACTGTTACAGATGTTCCCTTATATATTATTGTTACTTCATTCAGTGATGTAAAAGTTTTTATATATCCCTCTTGGTCATGAGAACGTAGTTTTGCAAACGTTATTTTGATAATCACGTTGAAATTCGAACTGTTTCTTTGTGTCAAACCATCACTGTACCATTCTGTAGTGCTTCTTTCACACTCAATGAGTCCTTGGAGATCTGACTGTATTCTTACTTTTATTGCAAATTCTACTACTGAAGCATATTGTTTATAACAGGACTGAGTGATACAAGTATTGTCAGATATTATTGTTTTGTAGTAGATTTCATAGATTTGATTAGACATATTACTGAATATCGCTTCACATGAATTATTATTCTTATTATACTGGTAATAAGATGGACATATGACTTCCCGACACACACCCTGAAAACAATCACAACTATTATAGTGTGGTTATGTTGTCATTGTTTGTAACATGCCTTCGAATGTTTTGTTTTATCTGATATCGTTAGTTGATACGTACACAATCACTTTTTGAGGCCTCATTTCCGATCCGTAAATGCTACACAATAATATAGTTCATATGAATATATTTGTGGGGTCTTACGTGGTGTTGAACGGATTGAATATGAACTCGGCGCTAGAGATTTGTTGATTCATAGCTTTTTTATAATTCCTTTCATTGTTCTTAATTTCGCACATTTTAATTTGATTACTAAATATTAGCTAGCTATAAAACCAGGTTTAATACACCATTTTTTACATCAGGAAATGCCTGTACCAAGTCAGGAATATGACAATTGTTTCCGTTCATTTGATGTGTTTGCGCTTTTAATTTTTCCATTTGTTAAGGGACTTTCTGTTTTGAATTAACTTGGAGTTCGTTTGTTTTGTTATATTACTTTTTATGTGTTTGATTTTTCTTGGGATATTTTACGCATGCTTTTATTCAATTTGAAATTATATACGAGTATTTGTTAAATAATTGAACACAGAATTCTCCACACAAATTTCTTTAAGGGAAAAACTCGGATATAAAGGGCACAAAGAATTGTACGCGACGTATTAAGCCGATTACATAATGTCTTAATATCAACAGAATGATCTACAGCTACAGTAGATTCGTTTTGATTCGTGGAATTCTATGGTCACAGAAAGCAGGGAATTTACAAATTCGACGAAGAATAATAAAAAGGTCGAGTTTTGAATTTGATAAGAATGAATGAATCAATCACGAACACATAATAAATTTAATTTATTTACTAAGTTTCCAGGTTCAACCTGTTGTTACTTGTCATAAACAATAAGCAGTTTAGGAAAAACTTCTTTGTACATGTATTATAAGTAAAATTCTTGCACTTAGATTTTTGGTATCGGTCAATGTGTATTGAATGTGGCCGTTTTTTGTTGGTCAATTTTACAAAAATGTCAATTTACGACAACCATAACAACATGACAGATGTTTTCGCAAATGAAATTAAAAAAAATCGAATCATCTATTCATATCTTTAACTTTTATGCAGGTGACATTGATAGTTATGAAGGATATATTTTTGCGCACGTATTTATAACAAAAGCGTGAGTTGAGTAGATTGTGCATGGTTTTACGGTTTAAGTGCCAACTTAGGCTGCGAACATGAGTAAGCATGCTTCTTACTTAATACGATCATTTTCTAATGCCGCATATCATTTCTTACAAAGAAAATAAAAGTCAACTGAATCAGTTTTATATGAAATATGAAAGGGATTTGTATAACTCATTAAATTGTGAAGAAGAAAATTATAAATACCAGTTGTTGGCATAATACGGGTTATGTTCTTCTCATATATTTTATGATGGTATGGTACCTAACGGGAGGGATTGTACCTGATTTTCATATGATGATGACATAATCTTTCAATCAGTTTAATTGAGGTCTGGAGCTGGCATGTCAGTAACTGCTAGTAGTCCTTTGTTAATTTATGTATCATTGTCATTTTGCTTAGTTTCTTTTGTTACCTATTTTGACATCGGACTCGGACTTCTTTTCAACTGAGTTTTACTGTGCGTATTGCTATGTGTTTCCTTATTCTACATTGGCTAGAGGTAAAGGGGTAGGGTTGAGATCTCACAAAACATGTTTAACCCCGCCGCATTTTTGCGCCTGTCCTAAGTCAGGAGCCTCTGACCTTTGTTAGTCTTGCATGTTTTTTTAATTTTAGTTCCTTTATATGTTTTGGAGTTAAGTGTGACGTCCATTTTCACTGAACCAGTACACAATTTTATTTAGGGGCCAGCTGAGGACCATCTCCGGGTGCGGGATTTTCTCGCTGCGTTGAAGACCCATTGGTGGCCTTCGGCTGTTATCTGCTCTTTGGTCGGGTTGTTGTCTCTTTGACATATTCCCTATCTCCATTCTCAATTTTATTAAATAAGTAATATATAAATAATAAATCAGACTATCAGTTTTCGATAGTCATTGGGTTGATTTTTGTGTACGTTTTTTTTAAAGATTCTATTGATTCGATTTGATTATTTATCAAATGATGCTTTAAAGAGGATACAGTGTGTGTAGGATTTCAACGATCGGACCAGAATTGCTTTTTGGAATCAAACTGTTCGGTACCTGATAAGTAATTTAGATACTTGTATAGAAAGACAAAATTCAACATTTTGCGACAGTTGGAACTCTTAAATGTGTATTCACTGAAAAAAACCCAACATATTTGCATATTGATTACAAACCTTAATAGTATCGTATATTTCATTATCACCACACTGATCCACTTTAGCAACGGCAACATGTTTCCTTAAGCTTATTAATCCAGTAAATGATCCAAATGTATATCCTCCAGTTGTCTTCCAAAAATCAAGGTATGTACAACCCATTTTTGGTGGTTTGTCAGTATTACACATGTAACAGAATACATTTCTGTATTGACCCATATACACAGAAGTGTAATTATTACAAGCATGGTCTATAGCCATACTATAGTTAGTCCAATAACCCGCCTGGTTACATTTTGTGTATTCACCCCAGTTACATTTTTCAAAACCTTTGCTTCCATGAGAAAACCTTATATTGCACAGTTGAGATGATTGCACTTCTTGTAGTAGTTCTTTGTAATTTGATGGTGTCTGCATGAAAGGCGTTCCATTATTGCAAAAAACGTACGCTTCCCAACTTTCTATGTTGCTTTCTCTCTCATGATTGCAAAGGGCACAATAAACATTTTTGTACACAATTGTTTTATTGATTGGTGAGACTGGTACGAAAAGGTAAATATCAAACAAATCAATATGGCATTGGTCGGACGTACATTTGTTAATTATATCACTGTCTATGAAGTCTGTTGCACAGTTTGCAAACATGTAATATGAATGTTGAGCTGTAAGATTAGTTTGACCATATTCTTTATACTGAGGGTAAATACAAGTCTGCAAAGTAGACGTGATCGGAATATCAATATTTGGGCAATGTTTCTTTGCTGGCGCTTCGTAACTGCAGTAACATTGATCACAACAACTAATGTGACTATTTGAACTATTTGATGGTAATTGGAGCCTTAAAAGCCCGCCACACAATGATTTTCTTGGACAGTACAGTAATTGATGTTCTATGATATTTTTTGCCTCATGATTTGATATATTCTGCGTTAAATATTCTACTTCTTTATAATCAGATGTTGCTAGATAGTCACGTGATAATGACTGTTCTCCTCTACAACGCCAACCATTTAGTAAGAGCAGTACAATGATCATTCTGGATTCATTCGCAATAAACACCTATATAAAAAAACACATTTTTGTTTTTTGCCTTTCTAATGTTCATAAATTTTTCATTTACAAGTTACATCTGGATTAAAAATTAACATATTAGGACATGGTTGAATCTGTTCACTGTGATGCCTTGAATACAGATCATTATGAAACTATTTGTATAAGTGGCTTCAAAAGATAGAATTAAGACACTTCTATTTTACTCTGATTTGTGCTACGTAATATAGACATAAGAATTCTTTGTACTGAAGGAGAAGAAGAAGAACAACAAATTCATATCAAATACATAACAAAATATATCAACTTCATCAATTTATACACTTATTGACTGGACAGAAATTAATTTACAGTAGTGGATTAGTCAGAAATTAATTGAAAGACTGAACATGACTTAATAACTCATTGTTCAGTTTTTTTAAGAGCTGTTCAGATAACAATGACTGTTTCAGATCAAAATAGGTTTACTTGTGAACCAAACCTTATATGGTAAAGAGAAACCATTTATTATGTAAAGGTGTGAATCCCTTAAATAATATATTGAAAAGTCGAATTCAATATGAAATTAAAACTCTTGTTGGTAATAGTTTAAGAACAAATTTTAACGATACTAAAAACCGTATAATTGACCCTAGGTTGTTATGATTAATAATCGATGAGATAAGTATAATCATTGCTTATTTTAAATGGTACAATTAAAAAAATCTAAACGGTTACTATGTATAGCATATTCGGTAGCCAAGAGATACAATCCGGTCCCTTGGCTATGTCGGAGATGTTTCTTCAGTTAACAATAGAAGAAATGATGTCTCCTTCTTCTTATACGTTTGAAGATTTTGACAATATTTTTATTATACTATCACAGTCACTGTCTTGAACAACTGTTACACACAATTTCACCAAATATGAAAAATTACAAAAGTTTGGATGTCGTGTCAAAGTTAAGTTACAAAGTTCAGATCGTAAGTCATACTATAATAGCACAGGGGTCTCAACGTACAGACGTCCGGCGGGCGATTTAAAAACACCCCCATTCACAAATTGATCCATGCTAAAATCTCTACCAATTCATATACTAGTATATTTTTCATATTTTCCCAGCTATTATGATATCTTATTTAGACGTAACTGATGATATCATGGTATCATTCAGATATTATTAGATAAAATGATCAGAACACAGTTAGCAGAAAATGATCATTTATGACTCATTGAAAAATAAATTTCTTCCCATTGTTAAATTAACTCCGTGAAAAATGCAACCCATTGATAGATAGGTAATTCATATGACCCATACCAGCAGCACTTTTGTGTAAAGCTTTATATAGGAAGATTCCCCGCCCTATGTACAATGGACACTCTCACTATACATGATCCTCGGTTTCATCAATATTTCAACAGGTTTCTCAAGTTCGTTGTTTGGAAGGGATATAGTCTTTCAAATCAACCCGATCTATATGCGGTTTGTTGCAACACTAAAACGGAACTGTGCCCTTCTATGCGATGGGACAAAATACATATTTTGTTGGTGTGCATTGATGTTTTAACATTTCTAAAGGTTCTTAAATTATTTCCACCATTTCCATTCCCTTGGGATAAAGTTTTATAACGATTTTCTATAAATTTGATGAAACACGTCATAGCGGATATTTTCAACCAAGGTTTTATCCACAGTTTCGGCATTATACAGATTCATTATAACTGCTTATATAACTTGTTGTCAAATTGTAGAGTTCCAATTTTTACATATAATTTTCTTTGGGGGAACAGTATCAGTTAAACTCGGATATTAGTTGCTTTTTTTGTTGTTGTTTTAATTACAAAGACACAAGATATGTACAAACATGAACCTCCTTTTTTAATGAGAAATTTTTTTATCATATACTTATAGAAAATAATGGTATAATTGTACCCCATGATAAAACTTATTTGTACATATATTTATTCATTAAATTAGAAGAATTGCCGTAGCCGTGTGATATGACTTTTGTTATCAACTGCTTCCGGTTTATGTCAACTGCTTCCGTTTCATATCAACTGCTTCCGGTTATTATCGCATGCTTTTCTGTAACGTTATCGCATGTCAGTTCGACGTCATTCGGCAAATTCCGGAAAAAATGTACCTCAA